ACCAAAAATGACTAGGCCTGTCACTGTTAAGAACTAGCACAGGGAGGTATTAATACCAAGTTAGAAAATCTAAGGTCTCACATTCAACATCATTTATGTAATTCCAAGATCAAATAATGAATGTACAATTTAAAATTTACACATGACCCACGAAGAAAATCTCATCTTGCCTGGTGAATCCAAATACAAGTTACCATTATGGCACCTTTTCTGCTGTCAACACTGCAGATGCATGCTTACGAGCCTGAAAGGAAACAGTTACAGAAAACAGTATTACTAATCAGTGATGTATCGTTCAGACTGGTGTTTTTCAAACAGGACTCCAGTTATTACAATCTGAAAGCAAAGTCATATTTTTGAGCCATCTCAGATTATAACTTTCCTCTTTAAAATCACTGAATGCATGACTACAAAACTAAAAGGCCCCCAGATTTTTCTTTTCAAGCCTATACTTAAAATTAAATAAGTTAAAATCCAAACAGGTCAGTTGTTGAGCTAGTTTATAAGGAACAAAATCAAAGCACAGAAGGGATCAGCAAATCGGAAAAACCAGTTTAGTTCAAGCAAGTGGAGGTATAGTGGCTTCAAGAAGACAACTGAAAGGAGGGTGCAAAGAACAAAAATAATTGCAGAAGCTGCTGGTATACTTTGCCACCTTTTTCAGAAGCCCCCTTTTTCAGATCTAAGCAGATCATCCATAATTTTTAGAGAGAGTAGGAACTGCAGATGCTGGAGAATCTGAGATAACAAGGTGTAGAGCTAGATGAACACAGCAGGCCAAGCAGCATCAGAGGAGCAGGAAGGCTGACGTTTCAGGCCTAGACCCTTCTTCAGAAAATGAAGAAAGGTCTAGGCCCGAAACGTCATCCATAATTTTAACTTCTTTCTCACACCCAAGGTGAATGAAAATTTTGAAAACCACAGAGGACTTGGATTTATACAGCATTTTCGTGACAAGTTAACATGCCTTGCGGTCAGTGAATTATATTTTGAAGTGTGGCCCCTGTATGAAATATGGCAGCTAATTTCCATCTCAGTAAACTCAACATTGGATCTTTCACACCCACCCGGAGACAGATGGGACCTTGGTGCAATATCTCATTGGATGACGACATCTCCCAGAGCAGTACCTGTATCTCCTCATGCACACAAATGAAACTATGATGTGCCGTTTCTTGCGCGTACGTCGGGCCCCATGCGGTCTGAAAGGGTTACAGGGTCGGGTGGTGTGTGTGTGTGCGCTCGCGCGTGTGCACCCATGTGCGTCCGTGCGAGGAAGGCACAGAATTCAAAGCTGTGCATTAATTGGAAGCTCAGGGACATAGTTGGAGACTGAATGTAGTATACATTAAAAACAAGGATGGGCTTGCTCTAAAGAACATGCACGTTTTTAACAAGTCACTTACATTTTTCTCTTCCACTGTCAGAAGGCCATTCACTGCCACTATCTGATACTGTTTATGTTTCATACTTCCAAGAAACCTACGAAGCATTTTCAGATTGACTGCAGTCACATCATGATGCAAAAGTTTCTGCATTTCTTGGTTACCAGGATCAAAAATCAAAAGACAAAGTGTCCCATTCTTCCTTTCTTCAATGCCTATAATGGTTCGACTGTGACCTGAAGTTTCAAACAATTATAAATTATGTTATTTCAAAGCAATAAAGCTAATTAATTCAATTCAATTCAGATTAATGACAAAATAAAAACAAAATCTTTTAGCAATAGGTTCAAACAAACTCAAAATTCAAATTAATATTTTACTTTGTTAAAATTGTTTAAACTTTTGTTCACTTGGTTATTAAATTCACCATTCTTTATAAAATCAGCTTCGTTACATTTTGCCATATTAGTTCTCAACATTTCTTTATATTTGCTATGTAAGTGCTTCAAATTATCCATAATTTATTACTTGATGTTGTAGTATCACGTACAAATCTTGCCAAATGAATAGCTGCTAGGATCTGAACTTTTAAAATATTTCCTTATGATGGCAGAGGAAGGGTTGGTCGTTACTGAGGAGAAATAAATCAATCAAAATTGAACGATCCCACACAGTACTGCACTGTAAATGTTTGTGAAAGTTCACTTATCTGACTACTTTGCTTGTAAAAACATCTATTCTAAAAACAAACTACAGCTGCAAAGATTTGCAGTTATCTATTGCTTTTAAGTACTGTACTATTTTCTTTATTGTGTTATCTGATTATTTTGGTTTATCATTCTCTTTATAGATAAGTCTATTCGTTCAAACCTTACATGTTAGTAATGACAGCATAGTACTTTTGCCTTTTACAGAAGGCAGGGAATTTCCTAAATGATTTTGCATCAATTATACAGCAAACCTTTTATTAACCGGTACTTTTGGGACCAGGAATGTGCCAGTTGGTCAAATATTCTGGGCAAACAAGAGGTCTACATAAATCACTGTAAAAACACACACTAAGTCATAGGAATGTAATGCAGGGAGTATACACATCAATATTACACTTAAAAAAAAAATGCAACTTAGCCTTAAAGAAAATATATCAGCAGAGAGCCATCTCACTTGCACCCTCAACTGACTGCTTGGACATCACGGTATTTGAAGAGAAACTGACTCAAAATTGAATCAACTGTTATTATTTTGCGTGGCCATTTGATTGGACAATTATCCATATATTGAGGTAAATCAATTAAAAAACTATAATAATTGGGCAGAAAAATACAGTAAATGTCGCAGTATTTGAGGTACATATATTTCGCCGGTTCATAAGGTGCATGTTAAAACAAAGTTTGCTGTGTATCGTTGTTATGGATTTACTGTTAATGCTGGCCAATGCGTAGCACATATGAATTTATAGATTTCCATTACTGTATCTTGACTTGGTAATGGAAACTGTCTATTTACCATGACCATAACTTAGAAATGGTAAGAGGAAGCCTGAACTACAACAAGTACTTAACAATCAATGTTGGATAAAAGTCAGATTAGGAATAACCCAGTTAATCTATCAGAAACTGAATGGCAAACAAGTCAAGTGTATGCAAAGGTGGTAAACGTTACATTCAGATATCATAATCAACATTTATGCATGTTGTGGAGGTGCCGGTGTTGGACTGGGGTGGATAAAGTCAGAAATCACATGACACCAGTTTATAGTCCAACAGGTTTACTTGAAATTACAAGCTTTCAGAGTGCTACTCCTTTGTCAAGTGAAGTCACCAAAATGCTGTTAGGTTGGGAATTCCAAGACTTTGACCCAGCAATACTGAAAGAATAGTGATATACTTCCAAGTTAGGATGGTGAGTGGCTTGGGGATCATGGTGTTCCCATTTATCTGCTGTTCATTTTTCTAGATGGAAGTGGTCGTGGGTTTGGAAGGTGCTCTCTAAGGATCTTTGGTGAAGTTCTGCAGTGCGTCAGTTGATAGTACACACTGCTGACACTGTGCATCAGTGGTGGAGGAAGTGGATGTTTGAAGATGTGGTTTTAATCAAGAGGGCTGCTTTCGTTCTGGATGGCGTCAAGCTTCTTGAATGTTGTTGGAGCTGCACCCATCCAGGCTAGTGGAGAGTTGACCAAAATACTCCTGACTTATGCCTTGTAGATGGTGATAGGCTTTGGGGAATCAGGAGGTGAGTTACTCACTGCAGTATTCCTAACCTCTGACCTGCTCTTGTAGCTATAGTATTTTCACCTGATGAAAGAGCAGCGCTCTGAAAGTTTGTAATTTCAAATACACCTGTTGAACCTGGTGTCGTGTAACTTCTAACAGTTATGCAGCAAGCCAGTGGAAACACAAGATAAAATTATGTCTCTTATTATTATCTATTTGTTCACAAACCTTACTCATATTTTAAGTTAACAAGGTGCAGAGCTGGATGAACACAGCAGGCCAAGCAGCATCAGAGGAGCAGGAAA